AGGGCCCCCCCCCCCCCCTCTGCGCCTCCCCCGCCCCCGAAATGGCGGCACCGGCGCACCGCTGAGGTAAAAGAAGCCGCAACGGCGTTAAAGTCTACAGCGGGCGAGCACGGCGAGGCCGTCTGGCTGCGGAGAGCCACGGAGAGGGCGGCCCCGCTCTCTCGCAGTAATTAGAAAATCCGGGTTCGCGGAGAAGATACCAAAGTGGAAGTAAAATACTCTGTTCTCTTGCCATGAGGGCTGCTGCTTCTGACCGGCACATACCCACAGTGCGAGCGCAAACCTTCATGCTGAAAGTCGTCATCTTATTCGTTGTCCATTAATTACATTAAGTTCAATTTCCCTACTTGGGGCACAGCATGGGCTCAACTCAGCACTGCGCAATGGGGTTACCCCACAGAAAGGAGAAGAGCTGGCTGTGATTTTAAATGAGGATGTAACCTTTTCTTTCTTCCTTGCCCCAAATACCCACTTAATAATGGAGCCCTCAAACCGGGTTCATCTCGGGAGCGCTGCTTGAATTAACGCTCTAATTTCAGGTTATTTTCATCCCAGTGACATCTCTCCCGGGGATGAAAAAACCACGCAGCGATTAGATCTCAGGGCGCCTGAGGTACGACCAATACTGGGCCAAAGACAAAGAAGGGCAAAGTGAATCGCGCTCGTTCCTTCAGGGAAGAGGTTTGAAGGTGACCTGAGGGGGTTCAAACTGCTCAGTGGACAAAGCGGGGCTGCATTTTGGAGTTCAGCAGCAAAGCCCTTGCTGCTGCGGCCTCAGCACCCGCGGGGTGGCCCGAGGGGGCCTCCTCATATCTGTGAACTTATATATGTCATATGTGGTCTTCAGAAAGAAGCGCTGGGTGCCGATGGCGGCCCCTGAGGACAACTTCACCTCGTGCCCAAATCCACTCGCTTGTGCTGGTGTGTGCTGTGGCTGGGACAGCCCTGGGGACGGGGAGGCCTGGGGGGGGCGCTGAGGACACAGCAGGGCACGGCGACAGCTTCGGGTTGGGAACGCGCTTGCGGAAAACACCCAAGAAATGGGGAGCGCGCAGCTGCCCGCCCCTGCGCGCTGCCCTCAGTGGCCGCCCAGCTACCGAGCGCCGCTCGCCGCTCCCGTCCGCGCAACGCACGCCCGGCTCCCTGCGCGCTAACCACAGACTTTACCCCAGCGCCGGTCGGCCGGCCTGCGTGACGCGCCGACGCCGAGCTTTCCCATTGGCTAGCGACCCTACGGGAGCACCGAGGCGCCGTCCGGGCGGTACCGAGGCGCGGCCGGCGGCGTCGCGCAGGGCGGCGGGATGTCGGGGCCGAACGGGGAGCCGCACGTGGCGGTGGGCGGCGCCGGCGGCAACGAGGACGAGGACGAGGACGGGGACAGCTTCGGGGAGGAAGGTGCGTGGGGACGGCCCGGGGCAGTGCCGCCTGCCCTGGCCCGGGCCCCCGGTGGGGCTGGGTGGCCTGGCCCGGGCCCGTGGGCCTGGCGGTGCGGGTGGCAAGGCCCAGATGTGCCCAGATGTTTTCCTGCTTCTGCTTGGGAGAGGTGCCCGACGCCCAGGGTGTGCCCGCTGCGCTGCGGCGGGGGGGGAGGGGCTGCGGGGACGGCGGGTTTTGAAACCAAGTGGGGCTGGGATGATTCCCGCCCAGTGATGGGGCAGGAGCTCCTGCATGCTTCCTTGGGGGTCTTTTTTTTTTTTTTGTGAAAAGATGATTCTGTGCTTTTGCGGGTGTATGGGGTGTGCATGACCAAGGAGAAAGAGGATGTTCAGATTTTGAAATTGCAGGACAGATCATGTAGGCAGGTCTGGGAGAAGTAGTCATGGGTGGAAAAAGTGAATTTAATGTAATTAGCTTGGCAGATTCCACTTTCAGGCATTTCTACAGCACCTAGGTATGAAATTTCTGATGCTGTCCTGTCCAGTTAGAAAAAGCCAATGAAGGAAGTGAGACAGTGGCAGAACTGTAATGTGTATGTACAGGTCACTCTTAAAATTGGAAATCTTTCAAAGGGTAAGCACTTTGCTACTCTTCTCTTGAAAATGGTGAAGATTTGGGTTATGCTGTTTCCCAAAACACCGTTTCCAGATGTGATTCGCACAGGTGAATCTTGTAGCTGTGGCTGTGATCCACCTGCAGTGACAGGAGCATCATTTCTGCCTTGAAACACCCCAAGAGCATTCATCACTTTGCGTCATCACAGTGATTTGTGTTTCAAACTTTTTGAAAAGCTAAGAGACACATTGGATGTGATGGAGAAAGTCACTAAATCTGCTCTACATTGAGTCACTCCGCCTGTAATTAGTTGGTGCTTTGTGTGCAGCAGCTGGTCATAAAGGTCTGTAGCTATTTCCTGGTCTTGTGGAGCTGAAGCTGTGGATCACTTCCTTGATCTCAAATCAGAAACCTTGTTTTTGGCAACCGTTCTTGTAAGAATGCAGAATGGTGAACAATGCAATTGCCATACTCCTGGTCAACATTTTCATTAGGGGATGTGGTTACATTTCCACAAAAATAGACCAAGCTTGCAACCAAAAGAAGACAATAAAATAAAATGTTTTTACAGAATATTTTAAAATTGTTAATTTTTTTTTTCTCTTCCCAAAGCTGCACAACTTATATAGCCCTCGCTTGAGCTCTAGGCACTGAGAACAATTAGGCTTCTGCTGGGATTACAGACTTCTTGCCAAGTTGATGAATATTGCTTGTCAGAACCAGTTATTTTATCTGCTTGGGATCTGCTCACCATTTCATTGGAACATAGTGCATCACATACTAGGTTGAAGTAAAGAGTTCTAACTCACAGACATCGTCACATACCTTGAAACAAGGTTTGAAGAATACTGGTAATTGCCACCTTTTTGGAAAGAATGTGTTTGTGGGATTGGTTTTTGAATGCAAGGACATCAGCAGTGCTCTTGCTCATAATGCCACGTCTGCATATACCTGCAAGACCAAACTTTTATAAAAAAGCTTAAAAGCTACGTATGCCATTCTCCAAAAAATTAAAGACTGCAATACTGCTATGAATAGCTCTAAAGTAGTATAAGAAAAGGAGGACAATTGTTTTTTTATAATGAAACTTCTCCTTAACTATTAGTAATGCAAATGACTGCAATATTTAAATATTCACAGTTCTTTTAAAGCTGCTGGTAATGGCAGTGCCTGGGCCCGGTACACTGGGCACCAGGGCACCCTGCCTACGGAAGCGTCAAGGAGGTGGCCAAGAGGGGCAAAGTTGGGCTTCTGAGGCTGGGGAATTTCAGCACGGCTCAAGCCTCATCCTCCTCGCTTTCTCTATACCCTCCGTTAGCTCAGAGCAGCGCTCCAGCCAGGCACTGCGTGTGTCACACTTGGCTCTGATGCTCCCCCAGCTTCTCGGAGGAGCCAGATGGAGAGCAGCCAGCCCCAGCCATTGAGGTGTGGGATTGTCTCACCCACGCAGGCATCTTTCCCTGTCCTGCAGCCCACAATCCTCGTAAATGTCAGCTCGCGAGCCACAGCTAGATGCCAGCCTCTCTGCACTCGCTCAGCCCATGCGGCTTCAGCAAGGAACATGGGACTGGTTCCGCCTGGGGTCTCCTGTAATGCCCCCGGGGTTCCTGAGTAACTTGTCAGCAGGGGTTTATCTTGTTGGTTTTTCAGTTTGGTTTTTTGTTATTCTTTAGGATGGTGTGAACATCGCTTGGAGCAATCCAAAAGCAAGTGTTTCATCACAGTAGCACAGCTATCTTCATCTGATTAACAGTGCTAATACACATCCCTGTGAAATGCTATTGTACTGAGGCTAACACTTCTGCACTTGAAACAAATGCTATGAATAAGAAATTGTACCTAGGGAACCAACTGTCAGGATCATCCTGAATGAGTTTGGTTTTAATCTGAAGTACCCAAAGCCACAGTGCATGAAAATTCTGTAGTTGAACTTGGTATCCCACGCTTACCTCCCTTTGGAAATAATGGTGCCACTACCAGCACCTTTGGGCTCATTCCTGCTCCTGCTACAGCCATGGCTGTGCTGTCTCGGCAGCCTGACCCCAGACAGGCCCTTGTGAAGCACATCCCAGCCTGGGAGCCCTGCACAAATAATTCACAGAATGTAAACACTTTGGCACGCTGCCAAAATGCCTGCACCTTCATCAGGAAAGATGATCCCTAAGGAAGCTAAAAAGGCTAACTTGCCCTTGGGATTTATTTGGTACTGTTGCAGTGCGGATCACTGTGCGCTAGCACTCAGCCTGTGGTCAGCTATTTATGTATGAGATCAAAGGCTGTCAGATACGCCAAGAATGGGTTTGGACTGCCCAGGTAACTTGCCTTAGATCTTGTTACCAGTCCTCCAGCTTCCCATTGGTCTCATTTGATTGGGGAACACAACATATGCAGGATTCAGTTGCATTTTACTTCATGCACCCAGTGGCAAATAAGGCACAGCCAAAATGCTGTGGGCATGTTTAGCAAGAGCTCTCACTGCCTTCACTGGCTGCAGTGACTATACTTACATTGTTCAGTCTCTCATTTCCCTTCCTTTTAGAATATGCAGCAATAAACTCCATGCTGGACCAGATCAACTCCTGCTTGGATCACCTGGAGGAGAAAAATGATTATCTACACGCCTGCTTGAAAGAACTGCTGGAGTCCAACCGCCAGACCCGCCTGGAGTTCCAGCAGCAAAGCGAGCAGCAGAACATGGAAGCTGATGTGCAGGGACCACAGCCTCCTGTCTAGTGTGCTGGCCACAAACTCTCAGTTGGTATTGCTACGGGGACATTTACTGGTCACCGATTTAACGTAAAACTTGAATAGAAGAGGTACCTCATGCCTGTTACTTGTTCCTGTGGTTGTGTCCTGCCATTCACCTCCACGTTGTTATTCTTTAGCTGTGTGATAGGTGCAGAAGCACACAGGTGGATGTAGGAGAGCTGGTTCTTTTTGCGCCTCAACACGAGCCTGGCACTGACACTTGGTTAAAGCTTGTTGTAGGAAACCTGATGCTACAGAGGTTGTTTGCAAGCAGACCCTCTTCACAAACAGTAAAAATGATATCTGCTCTTTTACACTGTTAAATCCAAGCAAGGAGTGTTATGGCTCTAGCCTCTTCCCTCAAAAAGCATGTTAGGCAGGGGCTGTCCTGACTTCAGGCTTGCCCCTAAGCGTAGCTCTAGTGACAGACTTGGAGGCGGAGGCCCTAGACCAGCTCCTGCCTTGAAAATACAGCTTCCCCATTATTCACGTTAACTGTGATGTAAGAAATATAGGCTGATGGTCCCAGATCACTGGACACTTCTATACCCTTCCAAGCAGAGAAGACAAGCTACCAGGGTCATGTTTTTGACTGTTATAATTGGAAGCTGCCTAACTCCTTAGGTTGCTATTAAGGTCTCAGGCATTAGAGAGAGGCAGAGCAGCCTGGTTAGCCCCCACCACAGCATTAGCTATACAGAGCAAAGAGGCAGGCCTGCCCGCCATGGGCTGTGAGCAGAGTCCTCCCTGTACATTTTGACAGTACACATGAGCATTCTGGTCTGAAACTTTGTGATCTTGTCAGGATTGCCTGGGGCCAGCACTGTGAAGCAAGTCTTACTGTTCTACTTCTGTAGAGTTAAAGGAGTTTTTTGGAAAGTTAAAGAAGTTATTTATAAGAAATCTGTTTTATTAAAATCAGTTTGAAACAAAATTTGTTCCTGAGACTCTCCACTATGGGAACAGATTGTATTAAGCCTTCTATTATTAACAAAGGACCAAGATGCACATTCTTGCCTAGCTTAGGACACAGTGCTTGTCCGAGAGTGTGCACCTTTGAAAGGAAACTGTTCTGAGGAACAGAATTGGGCACACGGTCTCCCAAGAGATAGGTTTTTCCTCTGCCTGGAAAGGAAACGAGGGGAACTACAAAGAATTCTCAGTGAAAAATAAGTTTCCATCCATCTACTTCATGAACTTTGTCCCCTATGGAATCACATTACCATCTTTCAGGTTCAACAATCCAAGCCTCAGGCTTTCCACATAATTGCTGTATCCCAACTGTGCAAGTAATAACCAACACCACCCTGTATTAGACACGCTAAAGCCAGGCTTATTTTATTCTTAAAATAAAAACAGCAGTAAAGTTGAAGGGTTTTGCTCTATTAAAAGACTCAGAAAATAAACATTTCCAGCAAATATCGTATGTAAAGGACTCTCCCTTTAAGGCCACTCTATCTGGGTTTGCGCCTCATCGAGCGTCTGCACCCAGCAGAGGTAAGACCAGCTGTCTCACCTTTGGCTAGGGAGGAAGGCTCTGCTGCTGCCTCCTGGCCTGTGTTTGCTGCCTCATTCTGTCCTAAACCCCCTCCGCTCCCTGGATCCTGGCAGTCATTTGTGCCTTCCTTTTGCCTGGCTGCATTGGCTTCCTCCTCCTTACACACAGTGTGTCCCAACAACTCCCCTACAGTGCGGTTCTCTTCAGGGAGTGGGCAGTCGGCACTAGTGGTAGCGGACTTGCTCTCTTCCTGTAGATTTTCTTCTTCTGCAACCATGATTCCACATACATCATCAGTCACGCTGGCTAGGCTTTTGCCCTCTGCTACAGAGGTGGCCAGCTCACCCTTACCCTCTGGAGGCATCAAAGCTTGTTCTTGCAGGGCTGACAGCTCTGTACCCTCCTTGTCTATCCCATGATCATCATTCACCTTCTTGCTGGTATCTGCTGTTGTAGCAGGAGGCTGTTTCGGATCATCCAGCAATTGGGAGCTGGAGCCCTGGGAATGCAAAGGAGCCTCGGGGTAGGCAGCTGTGGCACGATGCCTCGCTGCCTTGTATCTCTGCAAATACAAACAAACCAACATGAGAGACAAGCCCAGCTGAGCTACTGTCACTGCAGCAAGTAGCAGCTGGTCCAGGAAAACCTGTACAAAAACAGTGGTGAATGCCAGCTAGAATCTGCAGGGGCACGACTTATCTCGGCAGCTCTCCTGGCCTGGCTGCTGAGGCTTTCAAACAGTGAAGGGTCAGCTCCTGTGAGGAAAAGTGGTGATATTAAAACCTGAAGTCCCTCTCACATTACTTAATGCTGAGCGAGTGCATGGCAGACCTGTGGCTCCCGAGACAAAAATCATGTTTTGGCAACTGTTAATCTCAGTCAGACTCAGGACTTTGTAGATGTAACAGTGCAGGTGACAGCTCTTGCTTCAGCTGCTGCCAGGACATAACTCTGGACATGGACCCTGGATACATGAGGCTATGCACTGCCCTCAGCTACAGAGGTATGATTTAATGTTTATCAGCCAAAGCAAGACTTAAGTTGAAAGCTTAAGATTTTTTCACTGTGTTGATACAATCTGTGCAGTCAGTGAAACTGTTGACAGGACCACTTCTTGTTACAAGGTGCTGAGGTTCTCTACAGAATAAAGGTAAGCATATCATCAATAAAATTACTCATTTGCACTTGCTATCACAATGAACCAGTAGAGGTCTGTAAAGAGATTAAAATGGCTACTAGCCATTTTCAAGACTGGATTTCAGAAAAACAGCAACTCTGTATAGCTATCTAACATGCAGTAGGAATCTGGTCTTCAAGACCCGGACAGAGCATGAGCTAAAGGAGTAAAACAAAGCTCCCTCTTTTACATAGCAGTTCCCTCCACAATCAACTCACTTCCAGCTTTCTGCTAAAGGGTCCCTTGAACTGGCTCTAGCATTAGACGTGATAATTTAAGGAAATTATTTTGAGCGCACTGGCTTTCATCACTGCCTTAAGCAGTGCTACTGTAGTCTGCAACATGGAATTACAGCACATCAGATGGGCAGCTTTACATTATAATTCAGTTTATCGTTGCAGGCTTGTTCTTTCTCTGTCCTCAAATAGTGGAATATGCACAATATCATAATGCACTGGAACTACATCAGTCAAGTCATAATGTTGTACCCAAACTAAACCAGGTGCAAGCATGCCAATTTGTTTTCAGAGTGATTCTGTGAACTGCCTCACCAGCAGACAATTCTCTGCTTTGAAACCCTCTGATGAGCTACTCTGATGAGAGTACCCCAGAAACTGGCAATGATTTAACTCAGACTGTGACAACCCCAATGCACCTAGGCAGCCAAGAATAATAGTCATCTGGCTGCAGATATTTAAGGTTGGACTGTTGTCATAAATAATCCCCTCAGATTGCTCCAGCATCTATTTGAAGAGCATCTGATTTCAGCTCTAAGCAGGCCAAAAGGGAGGCATACACACTGCTGCTGCGGTTTCACTCTAAGCTGATCTAAAATAAGCCAGGGAAACTGCAAGGCCTATTCCTTCATTCCTGAAATGACTAGCTGCAGGAGTGGGAAAGGATGAGCAACCATGAAGGAACAGCTGTGGTCTTCTGCTACTTGCCATTCCAAATCCACTGCTCTAAGTGCTGGCTTCTGCAGCACCCCACCCCTTACTGGAGGCAGTGACAGTTGACTAGGAATAGTTAACCTGTCTGAAGACTAGAAGAAAAACATGAAGTTTGGGAGGTTTGGGGTGTGTGTGTGTGGTTGTTTTTTTTTTAAACACTATCAAAAGCGGGTAGGGAAGCACAGTGGCTTTTGTTGGAGCAAGTTCTGGGTGCAGGCAGAGGACAAAGTCAGTGTGGGAGCCTCCCTCCTTGCCAGGGTCAGGGAATACCATTCTCCTGCAGAGGCAGGGCCCAGGCAGTGGTCATGGGAGAGGGCAGAGACAGTGCAAGCCCTGCGTACCCACCACAAGGTACTAATCCAGGCCCCTCACCCCCTGGCAAGTCAACAAGGACAGAACAATGGAGGCAGATTCCAGGCCAGCCCAGTAGGAAAAGCTTCTAGATACAAAAGCAGCAAGGGGCAATACGGCTTCTTTAGGTGGAGCCAGTAAAGCAAAGGAACAGCATCAGTTGGCAGAGCTTTGTGCTAAGGAGTTTCTAGGAAAGGGTAGCAGACAGACAGACAGACTGACTTCCTGTTGCAGGCTGACCCTGGGGACCAAATGGACTCTCACCAGCTTGTAGCTTCCATCACATAAAGAGTCTGTAATGTTAAATTTCCAGATTTCTAAGATGAGTATCTGATTTTACCAGGCCCCTTCATGGATGAATCACACCCACAATTTTGGCTAAAGGAGCTGTTCCTGCAGTATCGCATGAAAAGATGCAAATGTACCAGCTTTCTTTAAAAGGAACAGCTTCTGTCTCTTGTTCTTTCCCCATCTTGACCCATGTGTAATCTGTCTAACAGAGAAGAGGCCTAGACTGAAGAACAGACTCCACAGGTTCAGCAAACAGAGCAGACACTCTGAGGAAGATTTCCAGCCAGAAATGGGCAACAAGATGACAGCAGCAGTAGCTGGGAAGCAGGACTGGACTGGTTTTAGATCTACAGGGGTGATGGGAGACAAACACAAAGCACACCAGGAGAAAGCTATGGCACAGTGGACACCAAGGATGATGGAAATGAACTGAAGACAAGACAGCTAACGTGGTGGATTCGCTGAAGACACGCATGGGGGTAACAAATGCCAGGCCATGCAATCGCCAAAGGGTCTAACCTGAAAGTTCTCAAAATGCATCAGGGACTTGCAGTGTGCGAGCCGGGCAGCAGAGTCGCTATGGTAGAATTTGTGACACAGCCTGCAGAGGTAACCTGCGACGGGGACCAGAAAATCCAGGCCTGCGAAACGGGAGGGGAAGGGAAATCACAGATCACATTGAATGGAACTCAAATAATGAAAGCATGTTAAAAGGGAAGGGGAAGGGAAGGAGAAAAAGAAAAGTGGAAAGCTTTGCCTCTGTTAATTACAGATTTGCAAGATGACTTGCTGAATATCTCATCTTACCATGGAATGGCTGTGTGGTTGATATTCAGAGAGAAATCTGGCTGCCAGAGCAAAGAAACTACACAGAGCATTAAGGGGGGGAAAAAGGAAAAAAGAATACAATGGAAAACTACAGAGAACATGTGATCTAATGTAATGGGATCAAACCAAGCAGAAGACAGCAGGCGCGCAAGAGGAACACGCAGAGAACATTCACAGCATGAATCATTATTCCATCTGCCACACGATACTGGAAGGTTACAGCGATATGGAAGATTGGTGTAAACAGAGCTCTCCTTGGGCACAAAACAGCCTCTGCAGAGCTGCCCTCCTCAGAACACGAGGGGCTGTTAGAGGTTTGAAGTCAGAACCGCTTATAGGGTGGGGACCCAAGACAGCCATCTGGAGGCAACACTGCCCACCAGTCCAGCAACATATCAATAACCACTAGGTAGAGCGTGGGGGTTCTGAAGTGGAGGAAACATGCACAGTCTGGGCTCTGACAGAGAGTTCGATACTGTCAGTACTGCTCAATATCTCTATACAAGCTGCATTTCTGTGGGAAAGCATTCTAATCAATAAGCTTTCAGGGTCCGTCTTTCCAGAGCATCCCTCATTTGCTACCTACTTTCTTCAGTACTCCTGCCCTACTTGTTCCACTTCCTACCTTAGTAAGGTATCTGGCTCTCATCCTTTCTTCTTCAAAGCAAAAGGCAGCTCACAAATATCAATCACATCCTTATGTTTTATCACACAGTAATAAAGCAACGTTTGGCCCTTTCTCCAGGCAGAGCAGTGACTTGCACCAGTCCGATGCAGATGCTGGAGCACCATGGCCCAGTAAGTCCTTATAGCAGTAGGTAGAGACCATCCTCTCTTAC